TGAGTTTACAGAGTTAGGGCAAGTGAGATTTGAGATGGGTAAAAAAGAGTTTGGAGTTTGATGGAGAAATTCTGGAGAACAAGGCTGTGGAGGTTTCTGTAAGATTGGAGAGTTGAGGGTGGTGAGATTTGGGGATGGGATATGTTGATGTCAAAGTTCAGCAGATGGTGGTAAGAAAACAGAAATGAATAAATGGAGAGATTAGAGGTGGTACAGAGATTGGTGAAGATGAGGTCAAGAGTGTTTCCTGCTGTATGAGTTTCTGAAGAAGACCACTGTGTGAGGCCGAAGGAGGAGGTTACAGAGAGCAGACGGGAGGCATTAGGGCAGTTGAGGTTGTTGATTGGGATGTTAAAGTCATCTGGAGTATCCAAGCTTCTGAAAAGAAAAGGGACAACCTGCCTGCAGTAAAAGTGTGAGAAGAATACATCAGAGGCAGGGTCACCTGTGAAGAAATATGCTCTGATGCAAGCCTGTCCATGTCACATTTGTAAGAGAACATCCAGACGGATGTTGCTGGGAAAAATGAGGATGAAGGGGTATTAGCCCTGGGACCAGATGACAAGACGGCTGGTGGCTAGTCCTGTCTGCCAACCAGTCCTTCCAAAAAACAACTTGTGTATATATAAGATGGAAAACTTGCTTGAGTAAAATTTGGACTGTGTTGAGCATTGTGAATAAATATTTGGGTCAAATAGTGGTTTTCCCTGGTGATCCAGGAAAACTTCTTCCCCATGAACAATGTTTTCAGCCTGAGAAGCTCCCACAGTAGTCTCATTGACATATGGTCCTTCTGGAAGAGGTTGCTGCATCTTTCCAGTGGCACTTGGCAGATATGATGTAATCAGAGAAAAGACAGTGTTTTCATTGCTGTGACTCAGATGGCCACTAGAGGTGCATCCTAGGGTCAGTGCTGCACTGTATGCAATACCTACACTCTGCATCTTCACACTCTGTATGTATGTTTCCCATAGAGATGCATTTATTCAATGCATCTCTATAAAGGAGATGCTGATTGACACAGAGCAACATTTTGCTGCTAACCAGGTAGGGTCAGCAGTGGTGAGACCAGTGTGGTGCTGGAAAAAAGGTAAGTAAACTACCTTTTTAAAGGTAGGCAAGGGGAGTCAGGACCTAAACTTGTTTTTTACAACTATAGTGACAGAAATACATGTTTGTATTCCTGACACTATTGTGTCCAGAGCAGCCAAACTGAATACATGGCTGACTTAGAGAAGTTTTTCAATTCGAGTATTTTGACCTTCATAATCATAATTCACTTTGAATTCTTACTTTAGAGAATAACCCTGATAATAGTCCCTGATGCAGACTGCTTGTGGATCATGAGGGTTGTAATTCACCAATAGCTGAACTTTTGCAATGAACACCAAGATATTATGCGTATATAAAATTTATACCTCATTATTTGATTTATTTACATAAGATGTCAAGACTTTCATTGTCTTAAACAAAGTGCTTCCTCGCCTTATTTATAAGTGCTGAAATCCCTTTAAAACACCACAGTTGGCTCTGTTCGTAGAACTCAAACTTCTGTATATATGTTCTATGTATCAAGTGTCTATAAACTACTGTTGACAATGTCATCTGAATGAAGATGAAGATAACTTCACAAATAATTGCAAATAAGTCTGCAGAGGTAACAACAGTGAGCAAGTTAATTTCAATGGCAGATATTCCTGGTTAATAGCATGTAGGCATTTTAATATGAACCAATTTTTAATAGTCTGCAGTAAAAACAAGGCCACAAATTGGTTTGTGTTTGGTTTGGGTGGATCTGTCCTTATGACATAATCACTAACACAAGTTTTAAAAGGTGTTTAAAAGCTTTCAGTAAATTTTATAACACTAGGCTGAGCTACATGTAACCTGTAGGAATGAATTCCTTGAGTAATGTAAAACATTTTCCAGCTGACTCTTACATCCAAAACACTAAATGCAAAGAGAATTTGTTTACATCCTGGTATTAGCTCCCCTCCCCCCACCAAAAAAAAAAGTATTTTTAACACATCACTTTTATAATGTGCTGCTTCTTAAGATAATTATTCATGTCAACACACATGGTCATATTATAAACAATGAGGAAAAATACTTATGTGAGAGAAGGCAACTCCATACAAGTGTTATATATTAAATTTATGAGGTGTTTCGGTGTAAATGCATTGTTTTGAAGTATCCACTTATGGGGTATTATTCACTTATTTGAAATGAAAACCATAAGTGGTTAAACCTTTTCATTCCACATCCGATAAAGGGATTAAATGTTATTTGTCTTGAGCACTCACATCTTAAATATGCTTCCCAACTTACATTTAACTAGTTGATTGCTGTAACACATTCCTTTTTTTGAACAGGTTCCCCAATTTAAGTAACGATTTGCAAAGCAGTTTACTTAGTTATAATTTTTGCAACTTAATCGTCAGAATGAACATGTGATTCGAGCATGTGTCACTGCACATTGTTTTGGTCTCTAAACATTTCACGAAATGGGTGCATTGTAGGCTAAAAGCTCAATTTTGATCAGGTTATTTAATGGGGAACTTTCACTTCTCTAGAACTTACAACATTGAACAAAATACTGAAAATTATATATATATATATATATATATATATATAATGTTTGTTATCCTTTTTCCTGAGATGCTTTTTTTTTTTTTAAGTATATTAAAGATTTGGCAAATTACATCATAATCCAGTGCGGACATGGCAAAGCCAGAGCAAACATTGCAAATGTGTAAGAGAAATGCATATGTTGCTAGATTTCTCCTCTTCTCTGTATGCTTTCTCTCCTGACTGGCAGGTTCAAAAGGTAAACCTAACTATAACTAAAATTAAGATATGCAATGTTGCCAAAATTTTTATTTCAGAGTTGCCATGCACAAGCATTACCCTTCTTGGTTTGGTTCTTCATAGTGTCGTTCATGACACCAGAAAAAAAGGGGTGGAATGGTGAAGAGGTTGTTTTTTTTTTTTGGGGGTGTTTGGCAGAAAATAAGCAGCTTAATTTGCCATTATAGCCAAAATTCTAAACCAGTCTTCCCCAAACTCTGGCCCTCCAGAGGTTGGTGAACTACAACTCCCATGATTCTATGAACAAAATAGGCTGAGAATCATGGGAGTTGTAGTTCAGCAACCTCTGGATGGGCAGAATTTGGGGAATCCTGGTCTTAACAATCATGTGGTCAGTATCTCCTGTCCAATCAAGAGGTAGCAAATAAAACATTGATGGCTAGGGGACACAAGTTAATTATATTCTAAGGTGAAGTGGCAATATGGATAAAAAAGGAGGAAAAGTAACACAATCCATAAACCCGAGCAGGATTATTCCAGACACTGTTTGGAGAAAGATAATCCTTCGTTTAAGGGGTGTGATGTTTAGTAAAAAAGAAAAATCTATTTCACTTGCCTAACTTGGGTCATTGATTCAGGTGTGAGACTAGTCTTCGCTTGAAGCGTTAAGCTATTTCCAGTGGCTTGTCATTTTGTCATGTGTGTAGTGTGAGACTAGGTTACCATGTACCAACATACAGTTGTTGAAAGAGGTTTTTTTAGTTTTGACTGTTAATAGAATGAAAATCATTTGTATGGGGGAGTGTAATTTGCACAATAAAAAAAGAAAAAAAACATAATCTTGCATAGCCTGGGGCTGGGTCATTGATTCTAGTGTGAGACTAGGTTTAACTTGCAGCTGTATCTAGTTAGATATTTTATTCTGCCGGAGACACTTAAAACAACTTTGTTTGGGAGATAAGACTGACATGTTGTCATTTGTCCCAGAGAAAGACTAAGTTACCATATGCAGTTATTCATTTTAATGTCTTTATTTTCTGTTTGTTAACATGAGATGTGAAGTCAGACAGGCCAGGAACTGGTACACAAAACTAGGCAGAAAGCAAACAAGCTGGTACACAAGGACAGAAAAGCAGAAAGTAGTCAGGTAAGCTATGTCAAAATAACAGCAAAAAAGGGTCACAGCTAAATATTACTAAGAAACAATGAAAGGGCCAAGAGCAGCCACAAAGACCTCCTTACCTGGAAGCAATCAAGTCAGAAAGGTAGCACCTGTGATAGCCACCCTACTCTGGAAACCAGGAGTTCAAACCCAAACTGACACTGGTTTCCTGACAGTATCCACATTTTACCAAAGGCAGTAGGCTGCTAGTGCACATGCTAAATGTCAATGACCTAAAAAAATTCTACCAAAGTGGTTCTGATAAACCAGTTTTTTTTCCCTGCGCAATTCTACAAATAAAAATTGACTGGGAGTCAAAATAGAGGCCCCCATTTGCAGGATAAAATGTATGGATTTCTACATTTAATTTCTTTTTAACACATTAAAAATACTTGAATATAGGGATAATTAAACATAATATTACAAACCCTGGGCAGTGACCATCGATCCATTAATCTTTATTGTTTCTGGCTACTTTAAGCCTCATTCTGACTTAGTTGCCTAGTTAACTAATAAGATGCATATATGTATTTGTGTTAATCATATTGACTTATTTTTTATAGAGGTGAATAGTCAACCCATTTTTCACTTAAATGATAATTTAATAAAATTTTTGAATGTCATATTTTTAGAAATTATGTGAAGAGCACTATTTACTTCCTATTTTCCCTTAAACCTGTTAAATGCCAAGAATACAGAATTAATCAGTATTACAGTAGGAAGACATGCTTTTTGATAGAAAATAGTGAAATGTTTGAAACACACAAAAACAGAACAGTTTAAAATTTGGTAACCGATTAGGTAAAAAAAAACAGATTTTCAACAGGGAATTTCTCCCCTATATTGTTTATAAAGTTAAATTCTGCAATTAAGGATGTAACAAATATGAATCCACAAGAGGCAGTAAAATCCCTGTATTCAGGAATAAAGCATATGTTACTCTAAATAGCTATACAGTGTGTAACTAGTGATGTCGTGAACTGTTCGCGAACTTACCGCGAACGGTTCGCCGCGGTTCGCCACGAACCCCGGTCAGCTGACACATCCCTGCCAATCTCCTGCAGACCCTCCCTCCCAGACCCTCCTACTTCCTGGACAGCATCCATGTTGAAGGCAGCTTCAACATGGATGCTGTCCAGGAGGTGGGAGGGTCTGGGAGGGAGGGTCTGCCGGAGATTGGCAGGGATGTGTCAGCTGACCGGAGTTCGCGGCGAACCGTTCGCGGCAAGTTCGCGAACGGTTCGCGACATCACTATGTGTAACCAATCATAGTAGTAAAGATTAAAAACAAAAATTCCTTACTATCTTGGAAATTACTGTAATATATTGTTTGTCCACTTGGGGCAGTAGTGTTTAAGGCAGTAACCTTTTAGTCTATGTGAATCAATGCTAAATGTATATAAAATATTAGGACCACACAATGGTGTTTTTTTATTTTTATACAATATGTTATACTTAAAAGTAAACAGGCTGTACAATAAGGACAGATTTATATGAAACCAAATCAAACAGTTTCCTCAACTTAGTTGTTTGATGTAGTTATCACCAGTGCAATTCACATGTAAAGTTAATAGGGGCAGGGCGAGAAACACATGGAGTAGAAAGTAAATTATTGTAGTAAATTAATAACAAATTAATCTCAAAATCATATCACTAGTATCTTACTAGTACATTATAGCTCAGAAAGGTAGATGCTTGTATACCATGATTTCTCTGCATAATGTAATTGGACTCCAGTAGTGGTCACTATTAAACATATGCAATTCGGTTTGGTCCGAATTGAAATTTGGACGAATTTCGGACATTCGGATGCTGCAGAATGGCCGAAGTGCCGAATTGTCGAATTTCTGAAGTGTCGAGTTTCAGAAGTGCTGAACCATATTGCTCAAGTGCTGAATTTCGGAAGTGCCGAAGTGCTTCGGACTTCTGAAAAGTGGCAAAATGGATAGGGGTAGGATTGGGGTGGGGTAAGGTTAGGGTTAGGGATAAAGTTGGTTTAGGAGTAGGCTTAGGGTAACCCTACTCCAAACCCAACCCTAACCATAAACCTACTCCTAACACTAATCTTACTCCTAACCCAACCCTAACCCTACTCTTAACCCTACCCCTAACCCAACCTTAACCCTACTCCTAACCCTAACCCTACTCATTACCCAATCCTAATCCTACTCCTTACTCTAACCCTAACCCTACTCCTAAGCCAACCCAACCCTACTCCAAACCCAACCCTAACCCTACTACAAATCCAACCCTAACCCTACTCCTAACCCTAACTCTACTCCTAGCCCTACTCCTAACCTAACCCTACTCCTAACCCAGGCCTAACCCTAACCCTACTCCTAACACAACCTTCAACCTACCCCTAACCCTACACTTACCCTAAGTGCCGAAGTCCCAAATTTCGGAAGTGCCGAACCAAACCGAAGTGCTTAATTGCCAAAGTCCCGAATTGCCAAAGTCCTGAATTTCTGAAGTGACAAACCAAACTGAATTGCCGAATTTCAGAATGCCAAACCGAACCAACATGCACATCCTTAGTCACTGTTCAGCAGCGCCCGTTACAGGTTATGGGTCATGTAATTTTTCCGAAAACCTTACTTGTTAAAAAAAAAGGCTGAATTGCCAAATGAGTTTCACCCTCAGATATGGCTTTTTAAAAGGAATTTTACTTATTTCTGAATTGCTTCATTCAAAAAACATAAAACATTAGGTGGGTGACCCCCTGTCCAGTTCATAAAGGACAATGATATAGTAAAGGAAGTGTTATCCCATTATAAACAATTAATGGGGGACATAACACATATCAAAGTTAGCACGAGGTAGTAAGTTCCTAGCACTTGTTTGGATACTCAGGTAGGCAGCTGGAGCAACCCGACTCAGAGTACCTACTTTCTGATCATAAGTGGTTATTGTGTGGTGGAAGGGAAGCAGCACCGTGGGGAAATTACTCAAATCCAGATCAATGCTGCAGTATAAAACTGTTCAATATTTCAGTGAAAAAGTTAAAATTTAAATGCACTTGGAGTGTCTGGAACTGATAGTAGCTTCAACTTATAGTATCTAGGTGGATAATCCCGCCAGGGGATGTGTGTTCTCTGCCTTGATCTTATCGAGGACGGTCCAGAAGAAGCTTCAGGAGCTTCACAAACATTTAGTGCACAGTTCAGGGCGGTACAGGATTTGGTATGGTAGTTATCTATGGGAAAAACAAAAGAAACATAATAGTGTAGAAATGTCAATACACCAATTGTAATTAAAAATGAGTATTGGTCACACTCACAAACTTGTAGCCCGTGTAATCACTTGGCTGGAGTGTGTAGTGCAGTAGGACTATTTTTGGAGATCCTGTTTCCTCGTTTATTCGAAGGTGAATAGCAGTATAGACAGTAAAAGCTTCATAGTATAATATTGTACAGTATGTGAATCATGTATATGCATAAATGCACTCACATGGTTCAAACTAGTTTAATGCCCATCTGAATAGCATTGAAGTATCCAGGAGTCTTCCACAGAAATGCAGTAAAACTTTTTATTGATATAGAAGTGATTAAAAAACCTGCAAAAACAAAAACCTAAAATAAAACACAATAAGTAATACCCCAAATTGGGGAATAAAATCCAAACGAACAAAGTCTAATGATGTCACCAAAACGTGTTTTACCTTCCTCAGTTGGTATATCAATATTCATTATTACTTCTTTTAAATCCTTGATTTATATTGCCAAAGATAATTTCCAGGCTGTTGTAACGGATCACCTGGCACCCTGACTGGGTACCTCCATAGCGCTTCCTGAGGGCTCCAAGCACTCCACCAGAGACCATAACCACCACAGACCCCTCGAACCGCTGCAGCTTGGTACGACAAGGCTTCAGGTTCCAGTGGGTGAACCTCTCTTTCTCCAGAGCAAAGCAGGAACAGGAACAAGCTCTTAGAAGAGCTTAGTGATTATAGCAAGGGAGTATGAAGAGCATAGCAATCCCTTGTAGTGGTTTCCCCAATAAGAGACAGGACTCTAAATTGAGGGTGAAGTAGAACTGGTTTAATGAGCACAACGGCATTTCTTATATACAGTTTTCCCCACAAGGTTACCACCCACATGGACCTTGTGGAGCACAGGACACAAAGTCACAACAGCCAATCAAAACAGTATTGTACAGTTAGACACTACCAGCTAATGTACACAAACCCTCCCCGCTGCCTGAGATAAAATTAACAAAGACAATGGACTAACTCAGTTACCACAGGCAGAAAATATCCAGTCTTTACCCAAAGTCCAGAAACACCCCAAAACACAAACATATCCCCATAAATCCTACATCCCTGGATAGCCCTGATATGGGTGAACAACATTTCCAAAAATCACCCAGATCAGAGCAGGGGTTCAAAGGTTTTATGGAAGTCACATTTGACCGACCACAAGCATGGCTTTCATGCCCAAAATAGTTCCACAAATTTAGGCTGTGCGGCCGGTCTATCTTCTCCTTGATCCTGGAGATAACTGGCTTAAGTGGCTGTGGTAAGCCAATTATCTCCAGGTACAGGAAATATCTCTAAGTCTAAAAACTGTTACAAAAACCACATAAAAATACACAACTCATATAATACAATGTTCAACCTATATGTCCAACATATCCCCAGATAGCTTGGATCTGAGCACTCAACAGCGCTCAGATCTCACGAATACAGTTGGATCGCCATGTGGTTAAAGTTGTTTCTTTTGACCGACCTCAAGCATGGCTTTCAAGGGCCAGAAAAAGTGTTTTAGAAATCAACTAAGCCCAAATAGACTTTTTAAATGGCAATACACCCGAGGGGCCATAGTTGCAGGGCAGGAGGCTGGCAAGCAGGCCCCTCCAAAAACTCATGGAAAACTCCTTTAAAAAGGGGAGTTTGTCAAAGCTGTCTTCACTCCTTCTGTTGTTCTGTTGTTGTTCATCCTTATAAACACTTTGGGAAGCCACCTCACTTCCTGCAAGGCTGATAATTATGTTGTTATACATGCCTGTCGCTATGATATTGTGCGCGTCATCATAGTTACTTCTGGCCTTCAAATTTGTTTCCTTGTAACACATTTTGCATTCCACACCTAATTTAGTCTTGTTCCTAACTTTTTGTAACGCACATGTGATCCACAGAAACCTCCTTTGCATATACAAAAGGTGCTGGACAAATGTGTCTATATAAGAGTTCAACTGAAGAAAAGTCCATTTTACATCTCATTCAACTAAGGTTGTGTCAGTATAAAAAGATTACATACATAAAACATAAAAACTACTGGTTGTGACATGAATAAATAATAAAAATTTTAAAAAATATAAAAAAAATAGTTGTATCTGAACCTATTAAGATGTGATATATTGTGTGGTAAAGTGTGCTCATAGATGGCAACATAGATAAACAAGAGGAAAAAAAACAATAGATTGTCTATTTTAAAGAGTGAGAATTTCAGTTTATATCCTCATTTGATACAAGACAACTGAACAGAGAGTCTCCTTCTTGAAAGATGGCATTTTAATATTTTACGTTTTTGGCAATTTGCTTAGTAGTGCAATTCCATTGGAATTCGTCTGTCCACAAATTCACCTAGTCTCCACAGGACCTTAAAACTAACACTAAACAAATCAGTTACTACTGAGTGTCTCCAGATTAACTTGTTTGCATCTGCGCGTATGCGTAAAATAAAGAGACCGTTTAGGACTAAGAGAATCTTATATAAGCAGAAGATGGAATTAGAATCTTGCTTACTAGGATACAAAACTGTTCTCATTTCCATAGACACATATAATAAGTTGTTAATTAAACACTAGGTATAAAAAACTACAGATATTAAAGGTCTCAAAACATAAAAACTCAGTTATCTCGTGTCAACTCTAATGATAGCATATAATGTACACAAAATATGACAAAAATATCTAAAAATATACCTCTTGCTTTTCAGAGTTCCAAATCAATAATCATTCAGTATACTTGATTGTCATGGAAGCGGTTCTCATACAAAAATGTATTTCCTAGATATTAATCACCTGTAACAAATAACATTCATGAAAAACACATTGATAAAAACATTTAATTAAAAAAACCTACCTAAAATTATCCCCCCAAAATGGCACATTTAAAATTTCAGTCCATCCTGGTATAATGTTCCCAATTAGTCCAGCGGTTCTCCACTTGCCCTAGCTTATTATTGAAGTCACTA